ACACTCAGAGGCTTTTACATACAGACACTTTTACACAGACGAAAGCGTTGCGATTGGCACTTTAGAATTGCAATAATTCCTCAGTTTTTCACATCCAACATCCATTTCGCACGAAAGGGTTGCGATTGACTAAGTAAAGTCGCAATTTTCCCGCAGTTTTTGACGTCCAACGTCCATTTCGTGCGAAAGGGTTGCGATGGACACCTCAAAGTCGCAATTTTTCCTCAGTTTTTGACGTCCAACGTCCATTTCGTGCGAAAGGGTTGCGATGGACACCTCAAAGTCGCAATTTTTCCTCGGTTTTTGACGTCCAACGTCCTTTTCGTGCGAAAGGGTTGCGCGCGACACCTCAAAGTCGCAATTTTTCCTCAGTTTTTGACGTCCAACGTCCATTTCGTGCGAAAGGGTTGCGATGGACACCTCAAAGTCGCAATTTTTCCTCAGTTTTTGACGTCCAACGTCCATTTCGTGCGAAAGGGTTGCGCGGGACCATCAAAGTCGCAATTTTTCCTCAGTTTTTGACGTCCAACGTCCATTTCGTGCGAAAGGGTTGCGCGGGACGCTTCAAAATCGCAATTTTACCTAGGTTTTGGACGTCCAACGTCCATTTCGTGCGAAAGGGTTGCGTTTCGTGGCGCTCCGGCGGCACCGCCCCCGCCTTAAGAGAGAATAGAAGAAGAGCGAGAGGAGATCTGCAGATGTGAAGGTGTGAAGATCTAGATCTGCAGGTGTGAGGGTGTGAGATCTAGATCTGCAGATGTGAGGGTGTGAAGATCTAGATCTGCAGGTGTGAGGTGTGAAGATCTAGATCTGCAGGTGTGAGGGTGTGAAGATGTAGATCTGCAGATGTGAGGGTGTGAAGATCTAGATCTGCAGATGTGAGGGTGTGAAGATCTAGATCTGCAGATGTGAAGGTGTGAAGATCTAGATCTGCAGATGTGAGGGTGTGAAGATCTAGATCTGCAGGTGTGAGGGTGAAGATCTAGATCTGCAGATGTGAGGTGTGAAGATCTAGATCTGCAGGTGTGAAGGTGTGAAGATGTAGATCAGCAGATGTAGTGATGTGAGGTGTGAAGATCTAGATCTGCAGGTGTGAAGGTGTGAAGATCTAGATCTGCAGGTGTGAAGGTGTATCTAGATCTGCAGGTGTGAGGGTGTGAAGATCTAGATCGCAGATGTGAAGGTGTGAAGATCTAGATCTGCAGATCTGTGAAGGTGTGAAGATCTAGATCTGCAGATGTGAGGGTGTGAAGATCTCTAGATCTGCAGATGTGAAGGTGTGAAGATGTAGATCTGCAGATGTGAGGGTGTGAAGATCTAGATCTGCAGGTGTGAGGGTGTGAAGATCTAGATCTGCAGATGTGAAGGTGTGAAGATCTAGATCTGCAGGTGTGAGGGTGTGAAGATGTAGATCTGCAGGTGTGAAGGTGTGAAGATCTAGATCTGCAGATGTGAAGGTGTGAAGATCTCTAGATCTGCAGATGTGAAGGTGTGAAGATCTAGATCTGCAGGTGTGAGGGTGTGAAGATGTAGATCTGCAGGTGTGAAGGTGTGAAGATGTAGATCAGCAGATGTGAGGGTGTGAAGATCTAGATCAGCAGATGTGAAGGTGTGAAGATGTAGTATAACGGCTGCTTTTTTACGAAGAACCCTTCGCAGGCGCTCTCGGGAAAAACGCAACACTAGAAATTCATATATCACTGAACATACACTTGACCTTCTCTCACAGGTCACGCCGGACACTCCTCTGCAGACATTAAAAACTCTCCGTCATAAAATTCGAAAATCTGCTCTCAAGGATAAAAAAAACGCTGGATCCAGGATAGACTAACCACGGAACAGTCTGGCTCCTCTGCGGACCAGAATGGAGGACTATCAAACGACTTCGCACCAAATACCAACACCGAACCCAATCGGTTAACTGGCTCAACGGCCTCCCCAGTACACGCCGTGATAAACCTGAAGTTTTGGCTCAGCATCTTTCAACAGAGGTTTGGCAAGAGACCACCCTCCCGCTCCCATACGATGAGCCCATTTCACGTCCCCATCCCCACGTTGATGAACCTTTCACCATGGTGGAGCTTTACAACGGGCAAGGCTCCCGGACCGGCCTCCATCCCTATTGAATGTTTTCGGTTGATGCCTCACCCAGTCAAGAAGATACTCTTAACTCACTACAATGACTGCTTTCTTAAGCTCGCAAAAGTTGTGATGATTTTCAAAAGTACCAATAAGAATAGCAGACATCCTTCCTCCCATCGCCCTGATTCTTTGGCAAACTCTATCTATAAAATTTATGCCGCAATGCTTCAGCAACGGCTCTGTAAAGCAATCGACCCATTGCTGCAACCCAACCAATTCGGCTTTCGCCCACAAAGATCTCTTGCGGCGCCTCTTTTCCTCATCAGAAGACCCATAGAAATTTTTGAACGGCACACCACTTCGCTATATATCTTGTTCCGTGATTGGTCACAGGCTTTCGACAGTATTGGGCATGCGCATGTTCAAATGGCTCTGCAACGATATGGAGCAACACCTATTTTGTTCAGGCTATCTGGGCGCTCTACCACCAAGCCAAATTTTAGGTTTCTGAATCAGAATTCCAATCCCACATGTGCTCAATCCATCGCGGTCTTCGCCAGTGCTGCCCACTCAGCCCATACCTTTTCATTGTAGTTCTTTCTTCTTTGATGCTAGATGTTAAGACATTCTTTGAGGGTTTGTACCTGCATGTCCCATGGACGTTCTCTGCGCAGCACCCGTTGACTGACCTTGAATATGCGGATGATACGGTCCTAATGGCCAGAACACAGGCCACACTTCACCGTCTTGGTCACCTCCTGCAGCATCTTGCAGCCCAACGGGGGCTATCACTCAACCCACATAAATGTCAACTTCTTGTGCTTAACGTACCCTCCCCAAATCCCTGTCCAAGACAGTCACCGCAACTGACCCATGTTTGTGCGAGTCTTGTGCCCCCTTTCTAAGCCTTTCTAGATCTACATGGACGCAGCTAAATATCTAGGGGCATTTATTTCCTCCAATTCCTCCGGCCGATGTAAACTTTCGTTGCTCCCAGGCTTCAACAGCCTTCCACACTCTCTCACCCTTTCTTCGACACCTGCTGATTCATCCCAAGAAAAAATCCAGATTTATTCACACATTGTTCAAGCAATTCTTCTTCATGGAGCTGAGTCCCAGGTTTATTCTCCGGCTCAAGTTACCAAAATCAACTCACTGCACTATGAAGCTTTTCGACAGATCCTGCAAGTTTAAAAGCCCGTCCTAAAATAGAGTTTTAAGCCCAAGTGAAGCACCCTGCTCCAACGAGTATTTGATAGCCTTAGCTTACGCTATCCATCCTTCACTTTTTCCTCTATCCCTTCGGATATCGAGCACCAGACTGAAATATCTAGGACATATCCTCCGCCATCCGCAATCCTTCGAACACCAGATCTGCTTTAATCCGTCCTATTCTCTCCGCACTATTTCGTCCCCTTGTAGAAAAGGAGCACCAAGAGCGCACTGGCCTGAATTGGCCCTGGCGGAAGCATCTAACAAAGTCCAAATGATTACACGCAAACGAATGCCCGCTCCAGGAGACTTTTTGCATGAGTATTACCAACTCTTTGCAAGTCATGAACTCAAAAACTTTGTCTCATCACACAATGGTACAATACTACTCCCCACATTCGTAGAATACTCCCTGTGGCACAGGATCGTGAATTATGGAAAGAACTTTGCACTAAATGATTGTTCCAACCTGTCGCTGTACGTTTTGCTGCTGTCATGTTGCTCGAAGTGTCTATGAGCGACATTGCGCCCGCGAAAAAAACATATATGTAACGTATATTATAATAAACAAAATATGATGTACTACAATACATAACAAGAAAACTATGCCATGATATAGCATAACCTAATATGATATAGCATAATAAGATGTAGTTTAGAATATTAAAACATATGTAATATGAAATATATCATCAAAAAATAAAAAATATAATATAACAACATATAATATACTATCACATACCGATATAATATAATACAATCCAATAAAATACAATGCAGTAAAATATAATGCAATACAATGTGTGTGTATATATATATATACAAAATGATATAATATAATATACTAACATACAATATGATATATGATATAATTCAATATAATTACATATAATATAATAACGTACCCACTACAATAATAAAATGAACCACACTCTAATGTATCATACAGCAGTGGAACATGGTATGATATGATATGATATGATATGAACGAATATAATAGAATATACTATATGTGTAATACACATTGTATATATATATATACACATAATATATATGTAATTCTGTATGTCATGTAGTATGTGTGTGTGTATATATATATATAAAATATGTATACATATGTATACAGGAATTTTTAAATGCCTTTGCAACAAGACTCCTTGTTCCTTGAATATTGTGTTGGTCTATTTTCAAAGTTACACTTGAGTACATTTGATTCATTTGATTGACAATCTTTCAAATAACATTTCTATCCTTTACTTGAATTGGTTTACCAAGTCGGGATATGTCACAAGAAATGTGAATGTGATGACACCATCGCAATCAGCCAGTCCTAAGGCACAAACATAATATGTGGGCACGTCACATGCGTGATATACCCAGGTCATACATGCGCACGCATACATAGGCTACATAAGCCTTTGCAGACCTAGATAGAAAGGTCAATGACATGAAGGATGGGAATGTTTGATGCAAAAATGCATCAATCAGAATATGTGTATCCCCAACTGGATAAGACTTGGACGTAGGTCTCCAAAAATATTCATGCTGTGCTGTGAGGTGACAAGAATCCACGATCAAACTTGGACACCGATAAATTGATAAATTGATAAGAATAGGATAAAACAACCAAGGAAAAACAACAAAAGCAGATACAAAAAAACACTATGATCATCTATGATCAATATGCATCCTCTTCCCTCCCCCACCTCCTTGCCGTGGCCAGCCGTTCACGTCGTGCTGCCGCGGAAGGGGAGCCATCCGGCTCGCTGCAAATCTCCCGCGGCTCCCGCGGCTCCAGCGAGCCCTGGCCCCTGGATGAAAGATGACGGCTTTGACGGTTGTCTAGGCTTGAAAGGTTCAACTACGACGGCTTTGATGTGTTTTGATGGTGAATTTCTGGTAGTGAACTGGGTTATCCAGTCTTGATCGTTGGAGATCTGACATTTCCTTGGCCAGCTCATGATCTCCCACGAAGTGCCCAGAAAATTGGATCACCGGATCAATGTCCCTGGATTCAGGGGTCTGTAAACAGACACCGCTTCTTTGGATTCCAAGATGTCAAAAGTTGCGGACATTAAAGCTCAATGCTGCTCAAATGTCACAGTGTCTGGATCATGGCACTTGAATTAGTAAACATCAGACCCAATTCAATGATTTCTCCAAACCTCAACCATGATGGGCGCTGACGCCGGCTATGAAATCACTGCAAATAATCTGTATGTGTATACTACATACTAATTATCATCATTATTGCTTGGGTGATATTCAACTCAACCCAAAATCTCTTTCTCACGGGTGACGCCATCCCAGTTGCCAAGTTGATGGAACATGCTGGTCACTGAGGACTCCATGATAGATTTCCGGTTTTATCATACAATATCTGCTGAAAAAGAGCGTGAATTTATTTATGCCAAATTTAAACATACCACCAACATCCACTAACCAGAAAATGAGCTGGATCAATCTCGCATGATTTCTCGATTTCTCGAAAAAACACATCTGGTTGGCCATAAGTTGTTTGATGACAGTTTTTCGCCGAGGCTCGCTGCTGGCTCTTGTTTTGCAGACCTGGTGATCCAACAAACTCAACCGAAATCATTGAGGAACCTGGAGGATGGGTCTTTGATCAGACATATCCAAGCAAACATGGCGTTTCAAAAAGATATTGTAGAGAAAATAAACGAAGGTGATGGGATATCGATATCCAACCGGATTGCGTTTTTTTTTTCGGGGTTCCCTGCCAGGAGACCGTTGGATTCTGGCGTAGAACTGGCCATAGATGGATCCAGTGGGCTCCCTTGGAGATGCCACCAGTTCCGAACCACAGAACCGACCATGGTGAGAGGTCGACTGTTATGGTCATCTAGTTGGGGCTGTGTGTTTGCGATGCCAAGGGGGAATTGAAACTTGAGTATCACAAAGACCTCAACTGCGCTTTTGACCCTGACAAAATCTGACAAACATATGGTTTTGATATGTTTTGATATTGTTTTATATTGTTTTGATATTTTTTACCACTATAGATACTCAGCCGTTGCTTAACGGCATGGCTCGCAAGCAACAACCCAACCATGTTCAACACAAACATAAAGCAAGAATGCATGTGTTTCTCTGTGAAGTGCCAGCAGGAAGCATTGGCAGAATCCGTAACCACGATCTCATGAATCCCCAAAAATCAAAAAAATCGAGGGATCATAGTGCAGCTCACAAGGTCATGCCGACCTCGAACATATTCTTCGCTACCCATCTTGATTGGTTCCATGTTGATTACGTTGATTTTTTGAAAAAATGAACGCCATTGAACACCATCAAATCAACTGAAGTCACCCTGAACGGCCCCGATGCCAAAGATTGCCAAAGTGCTCCATCTCTGTCAAATCTGCGGTTGCGTCCACGGATGGCTCCACAGGAGGCTCACGCCTTGGTAGAGTCTTAGGAGATGGGTGAAGCATGGTGAAGCTGGTGGTTTTAGGATGTTTTGGGTAGTTGAACCATCCACTTCAAGGATTTTTTTATCGCATGGTAGACTCGGGACGTCAAACAACACAACCAAAGATGATTCAAGCACCAAAAATCGGATAAAGCGTTCATTGGTTGTTTCTTTTTTGTGTCACCTATAGGATGTTCATGGGTGTTCCACAAAGAATCAGTCTTCTTGCGATTGTTCCTGCCCTATCCAATTCTTGGGCCACGAATTCGTGGTGCCCATGTGGAAAACGCTCTGCACATGGTTGTGGGTTTTGACGCAAACCCACGCATCTACAGTCGCAAGAATAAACGCTTTGAAATCATCATTCTGAATTTCGGACAGATCTTGATTGGTTCCATGTTGAATACGTTGATTTTTTGAAAAAAATGAACACCATTGAACACCATCAAATCAACTGAAGTCACCCTGAACGGCCCCGATGCCAAAGATTGCCAAAGTGCTCCATCTCTGTCAAATCTGCGGTTGCGTCCACGGATGGCTCCACAGGAGGCTCACGCCTTGGTAGAGTCTTAGGAGATGGGTGAAGCATGGTGAAGTTGGTGGTTTTAGGATGTTTTGGGTAGTTGAACCATCCACTTCAAGGTTTTTTTTATCGCATGGTAGACTCGGGACGTCAAACAACACAACCAAAGATTTCAAGCACCAAAAATCGGAAAAAGCGTCCATTGGTTGTTTCTTTTTTTGTGTCACCTATAGGATGTTCATGGATGTTCCACAAAGAATCAGTCTTCTTGCGATTGTTCCTGCACTATCCAATTCTCGGGCCACGAATTCGTGGTACCCATGTGGAAAACGCTCTGCACATGGTTGTGGGTTTTGACGCAAACCCACACATCTACAGTCGCAAGAATAAACGCTTTGAAATCATCATTCTGAATTTCGGACAGATCTTGATTGGTTCCATGTTGAATACGTTGATTTTTTTGAAAAAAATGAACACCATTGAACACCATCAAATCAACTGAAGTCACCCTGAACGGCCCCGATGCCAAAGATTGCCAAAGTGCTCCATCTCTGTCAAATCTGCGGTTGCGTCCACGGATGGCTCCACAGGAGGCTCACGCCTTGGTAGAGTCTTAGGAGATGGGTGAAGCATGGTGAAGCTGGTGGTTTTAGGATGTTTTGGGTAGTTGAACCATCCACTTCAAGGTTTTCTTTATCGCATGGTAGACTCGGGACGTCAAACAACACAACCAAAGATTTCAACCACCAAAAATCGGAAAAAGCGTCCATTGGTTGTTTCTTTTTTTGTGTCACCTATAGGATGTTCATGGATGTTCCACAAAGAATCAGTCTTCTTGCGATTGTTCCTGCACTATCCAATTCTTGGGCCACCAATTCGTGGTGCCCATGTGGAAAACGCTCTGCACATGGTTGTGGGTTTTGACGCAAACCCATACATCTACAGTCGCAAGAATAAACGCATTGAAATCATCATTCCGAATTTCGGACAGATCTTGATTGGTTCCATGTTGAATACGTTGATTTTTTGAAAAAATGAACACCATTGAACACCATCAAATCAACTGAAGTCACCCTGAACGGCCCCGATGCCAAAGATTGCCAAAGTGCTCCATCTCTGTCAAATCTGCGGTTGCGTCCACGGATGGCTCCACAGGAGGCTCACGCCTTGGTAGAGTCTTAGGAGATGGGTGAAGCATGGTGAAGTTGGTGGTTTTAGGATGTTTTGGGTAGTTGAACCATCCACTTCAAGGTTTTTTTTTCATCGCATGGTAGACTCGGGACGTCAAACAGCACAACCAAAGATTTCAATCACCAAAAATCGCATAAAGCGTCCATTGGTTGTTTCTTTTTTGTGTCACCTATAGGATGTTCATGGATGTTCCACAAAGAATCAGTCTTCTTGCGATTGTTCCTGCACTATTCAATTCTTGGGCCACGAATTCGTGGTGCCCATGTGGAAAACGCTCTGCACATGGTTGTGGGTTTTGACGCAAACCCACGCATCTACAGTCGCAAGAATAAACGCTTTGAAATCATCATTCTGAATTTCGGACAGATCTTGATTGGTTCCATGTTGAATACGTTGATTTTTTTGAAAAAAATGAACACCATTGAACACCATCAAATCAACTGAAGTCACCCTGAACGGCCCCGATGCCAAAGATTGCCAAAGTGCTCCATCTCTGTCAAATCTGCGGTTGCGTCCACGGATGGCTCCACAGGAGGCTCACGCCTTGGTAGAGTCTTAGGAGATGGGTGAGGCATGGTGAAGTTGGTGGTTTTAGGATGTTTTGGGTAGTTGAACCATCCACTTCAAGGTTTTTTTTCATCGCATGGTAGACTCGGGACGTCAAACAACACAACCAAAGATTTCAAGCACCAAAAATCGGATAAAGCGTCCATTGGTTGTTTCTTTTTTTGTGTCACCTATAGGATGTTCTTGGATGTTCCACAAAGAATCAGTCTTCTTGGGATTGTTCCTGCACTATCCAATTCTTGGGCCACCAATTCGTGGTGCCCATGTGGAAAACGCTCTGCACATGGTTGTGGGTTTTGACGCAAACCCACACATCTACAGTCGCAAGAATAAACGCTTTGAAATCATCATTCTGAATTTCGGACAGATCTTGATTGGTTCCATGTTGAATACGTTGATTTTTTGAAAAGATGAACGCCATTGAACACCATCAAATCAACTGAAGTCACCCTGAACGGCCCCGATGCCAAAGATTGCCAAAGTGCTCCATCTCTGTCAAATCTGCGGTTGCGTCCACGGATGGCTCCACAGGAGGCTCACGCCTTGGTAGAGTCTTAGGAGATGGGTGAAGCATGGTGAAGCTGGTGGTTTTAGGATGTTTTGGGTAGTTGAACCATCCACTTCAAGGTTTTCTTTATCGCATGGTAGACTCGGGACGTCAAACAACACAATCAAAGATTTCAACCACCAAAAATCGCATAAAGCGTCCATTGGTTGTTTCTTTTTTTGTGTCACCTATAGGATGTTCATGGATGTTCCACAAAGAATCAGTCTTCTTGCGATTGTTCCTGCACTATCCAATTCTTGGGCCACCAATTCGTGGTGCCCATGTGGAAAACAATTTGCACTAATGGTATGCACCATAGTTTGGAGCAAACGCATTTTGAAATAATCTTGCCATGTTAACTTTTTTTGCGAAGTTTGTACCACTATCAAATCACGTGAAAGTGCCCTAACCAATCAATTCACACATCTGATGTCTTTTCAATTCTTTTCACCTTGTATACCATATAGTATCCATTTTTTTGATCAATACTGTCAAACAATGGGTGAACAAACTTCTTGATCCAACTCATTCCAATTCCGGTAAACTACCCACCATCAATCAATAGGTTCTTGGTTGGTTGGTTCAAAAGACGTTTCTCAATCGGGGATCACCACTCTATGGTTCAGGAACGGAACATAACCACCAATCAATCTTATTTCGTATAATCTTTTGGTTTCTAATGGTTTCTATTCCTATATTTTAGTTTTCCAACACGACCATTTGAAACCAACATTAGAAATCAAAACCAGCTGCTTTCGCATTTTCTGTTTCTATCATATTTGTTGGTGGCATGTCTATTTGTTGTTGGCAACTCCTCCCACTTTCGGCGAAACATCAGACGCCAAGCAGCTCAGAAGCCCAGAGTCTGACCTGGAACTGGCCGTTGAACAATGGAAACCACATTGGAAGAGGTAAGCTTTAGGAGGTTCCAAAAAAGGCTGGCTGAGTGGAACGTGTTCAGCCCATTTCCTTTTTTATTTGCATACTTTGTCTGGAGATGTGGGATTGAAGCCAAAAAATGGGTCATGAATTGGACTTGTGGCTGAAAAATCAATGGCCACCTCTGCTTTGAAAATGCCTGAAGCAGGTTAAGTTGGTTGAATGGCTTTTGCATGGTTCCGTTCAAATCATTCAAAAGCTTCTTGGCTTGGAGGTGGCCGCATTGTTGGAGAAAAACCATTCAAACTTTTGGACCCTAATGCCACGCACTGTCAAATCAACACTTGATAATTGGAAAATCAAAGATATCATCATCTTGGCAGTTTCTTGCAAACAGAGAACAAAAACAGCACAATCCGACATGGACCCCACTATCCACTGAATTTTGGAGAGGTACAATAAAGAGCCCCCATCCCAGTTGCAAACGGCCTAGAAGACACCCAATCACTGGTCATTTTCATTTTTTACATCAGTTGAATTGAATGAAGTTGGAAATCAGCGAATTAAATAACTTATCCCTTGGACGGACATGGTCCATTTCTGCAAATCCAATGCTATTGGCCGATATGAAATCTTCTCCCCCCAAAAAGATTAAACATGATTAAGCACTTTCTCCCATCAGTGACCAGGGTTTCGTGGGGGTTTGGCCCCCTTCTTGGGACCCATTTAGAGTGGTGCCTCCAAAGCTGGACTCGACACCACTGTGTCTTGCGCTGCCTCCTGGCTGGTGGAACATTTTTCTTTGGGGGCGAGACTGTCCTCAATCTTGGGCTAAAATGGGCAAACAATCATGATTTGGCTCCATTTTTGTTTGATCCATCTGGAGAGTCTTGTCGACAGTGGCTCGAGATGGTTGATACCCGAAAATGGAAAACCATGAGGGTCCCTGGACCCCAAAGCCAGTCCCATAAAATGGACTGAATGATTTTCAGCCGATCACAAATGATCTTGGAACAAAGACACGGTTGACTCATTGCTAACTTGGCGAAACTGTTCGGATTCGATCATGGTTGAGCCATGCATAACCATCCTTCGTTTGGGTCTATCTCAGAAAGGTGGACAATCCTTTTAATGGAAGAATAATGATAAACTATGGAATGTTGTTCCAACTTTTGAGACCCGGTTCTGACCATGGGGCAGGCGTTATGAAATTGAACATCCAGACATCACCATCAACATCCATCCATCAACCAACACGAGTCTGGCCACTGCTCAGGTGTTATGTGACCAGTTTTGACAAGTTGAACGCTTGCACATACCTGAAATCGGCGAGGTTGAGGAGGATTCCCCCAGTCCTACCCATCAATTCAACCAGTTAGGTCCGTTGTTTGGAAGTGGTCCAACAAAATACACAGACAACTGTCCTGGCTGTAGGACTTTTGCCCCTCCAATTCTTCAGACTTTTGGCTGCGTCCTACTGCTGGTCTGAGGAACGGAAACCTAACTGCTTCGATTAGTAGATCTATTGGTCCTCAGAGTTTGGGGAAACTTTGGTTCCCATTGGGATAGTTTCCTCTAGAAATATGGAGAAACCAGACCATCAAATCTGAGAATTGCTGTTATGGTTTCTTCTAGATTTCCACAACCAACCCGATGATGGCTGCGACATTTTCCAGCAATGATGAGCAACAAAAGTCACGTGGAATTGTCAATGCTAAACGAACCCAAAAGCATAGAACAACAGCAGCAACAGGTCCTTAGAGGCCGGGTATTGCCTTAAACACAATCCCAAACATTGCTTGGCTGCAATATAGACATACCAAAATCTTGATTTTTCTCCTGCAAAACAAATGAAGACCTCAACACCAATGGGGTTCTTACGCTTCATATACTGGAAGGTTGTTTCTTAGTTGAGTCAGCTCTCCCACATATCTTTGTTTAGCGGAGTGACTCATCCCAGCTAAGCATTCGCAGTCTTTTTTTCCCCACCTGCCAGGTGAGGGTTGTTAGATTTTATGTCAGTTGCCTGCTCCTCTCCTCCTCTCCTCTCCTCCTCCTCCTGCTCAACCGCGACCCTCGACGCACAGTGTTCTCTGTCGGACCTCAACCACGACCATCCACGCCCAGTGTTCCCTGCCGGACCTCAACCACGACCATCCCCGCCCAGTGTTCCCTGCCGGACCTCAACCACGACCATCCACGCCCAGTGTTCCCTGCCGGACCTCAACCGCGAGTATCCACGCCAAGTGTTCCCTGCCGGACCTCATGTAGGAAGATATGGGACAAAGAATGTGCAGAAGAAAGTTAAAAAGAATGTCAGACAAGTATGTTATATATTACTTGCAAACTCGCGCGTGTGTGGTAGAGTGACCGGGGCAATGCCACTTCTTACTTTGCAGGTGGCAAAGTTTGAAGCAATCAGTTTGAACAGATGACAGAGTCACTGGGGTGGACAGAGACATTTCCACTTCTGTACCTTTGGAGCTGTTTGCAAAGACGCTTGAGACAGGCAACATCTTACAGCAAGTTACTACAAATTACTTGAAGTGATCTCATGCTGGATTGATGCTTGAGACAGTCAACATCACACAGGGTTTCTGTTGTGTATCACAGCTATGGTGGCATGGTGGATATGTGACATCGGAACATTTGTTGGAGCATTTGAGCCCTCATCTACTCGATCGCGGGCCAGAGGCAGGATGGACATCATCATAGAAGAATTCAGCAGGAGGAGGTTGTGTGATCAGTAGTGTCTTCTTGCGTGTTTTTGTTTGCTTGGCAGGTGATGGCAGAGGGTGACCAATCTGCGAGTGCTGCGCAGGCGAGGAGTTTGAATGGAAGTAAGCACATTGGCCAGTGGCTGCTTTCAAAAGTGTTGGATAAGTGATTTGGAAAGCAGCTTGTGCTTTGACACCCTGCGCAACAGCCGACGCGAGCTCAAGCACAAGCAGAAACGTGAATAAGATAATAGTGCTCAAAGGATAGGGACATGAAACGCTTGAGAATATAAATGTAGTAGGTGTATCCCTTCGAAATGTTTCATTGAGAAAGATTGGAGAGGTTACATACTATATAGATATTTAGGTGTAGCTTGACACTGCAAGACGGACACTGTCTTTTTGCACTTGGGAAGTTTGAACACATTGGGACTGAACTGGTTTTGACCGGGAAGGTCTGGTGTTTCAAGAGCCATGGCAAAGAGATCATGGCCATTTGGTGTCACGAGTTGGGATGACACTGTGAAATTTGCGCAGCTTTTGTTTGGTGTAGACGTTGCCTTTGAGAACTATGCAGAGAGATTGCCGCATAGATCGAACAAATCCTTCTTGCTATTCGCCAAAGGCGCTTGTGCTGAGGGAAGGCCCTTCTTCGAGATTGGAGATTTCATTGCGCCACAGCTGGAAGAGATTCAACAGTGGGAAGAAAATGTTCGCAACAACAATGCTCGTCCAACGAAATCCCAGCAGATGCTGAAAGCTGACGGATGGACTGTGTACTACTGGAGTGCGCAGGTGACGCGTGCTCCGTGTCTGTGTCGCTCCATCTTTGGAGCTGACGCTCACCAGAAACACGTGCCAACTTCATCGGCCATGTGGAAAGCTGGAAGCAGATTTGAGAAATTATGGGACGCCACATTGATGAAGAACTATGAAGCTTTTCAGAATCGAGACCTGCGTCCCACTTGGCTTGACAAGTCGTGGCAGGTGTTGTGGAACTGGAATGATCACAACAAAAATCATGGAATCAGCCCTCATTCAGATGAGTCTGCCACCTACAGCAATGTTGATCCGATCACGTCCTTTTCCTTTGGGCATGGGGGTGTGTTGACCTTGGGCCCCAAAAAAGGTCCAGTGACAAGGATGTTGTTCCAAGAAGGCGGTGACGCTTTGGTGATGGCAGGAGACTTCCAAGCAGAGTTTTGCCATGGTGTGCCGGCGCGCTCCACTTGGAAAGATTTGAAGTTGCTTCCTATGTTCACTACAATGCAAGAGTGGGAGAAAGTTGGGCTGCAGCAGGAAATTGCTTTGCATGAAGGTGCTGCGCCAGAAGCCAAGCATGTCCGTATGAATTGCACGCTCCGCTGGCACAGCACACATTGGGCTGGATGTCCGGTGCGGGGGCAGGAAGGTCATGGGACTCAACCGGTT